TGTTAAACTGGTCATCAGAGTCATCTATACCTTTTGCTGGTTATCAGTTTTCCCATAACGTTAAATCTGCTGACCATAAAGTATAAATGGAATATACAGCAAAAACCATAAGTTGTACTCATTTGCGAAATGTAGATTCTGTTATATTAACTAACATTACAATAATAATAAGAAATTGACGGCAAAATAATTACATATTTCTCTATATATCGGTATCTAACTGGTCAGCAGTTTTCAATGTAAGTGTAACTGGTCAACAGATTCTACTATTATATGTTTAACTGGTTAGCAGATTCTGCTATACATGTACACGTTTAATTGGTCAGCTTAATGCACAATACGTTAAATATTTTGACCATATTGTATAAGCATAAACCACACACAAATTGATTAACATGTAAAATTTACAAATTACAAACATTGCAAAATGAATTATAGACGGGTTTGATTTTCAGAAAAGACACTCCGTTACGAGCCTAACGGCGTTTTTAGTACAAGAAGGTAGTCAAGCATTTTTTACATAATTTAGGTACGCTGAATCCATTTTTGCTCTACCATTGCTGTACTCGAAGTCCTTGACCCTCTTAAGGTCAAATCAAAATGGACACCATTGACCTTTACAATCTACCTTAAAGTTAATCATTTCTGGTTCATGTTTTTATTGTTTGTCCATATATTTACATAGAATAAAGTTGCAGTTACTTTCTTTAAGGAATAATTGGCTGGTAATTAAACATAATTTAAATATTATTGCGGCCATCTTTGATTTCAAAATGGACACCGTTTTTAACAAATATGAATAAAGTGATTTTGAACAAATGGACCATTAAGCCCGATTTACACAGTCCCGGTTTGGCGTCTTGATTTGCCACGGTTTAGTCCGACGGGACCAAACAAACAGACCTAAACAAACCTTTGTGAACCGGGACAAACCAGGAGATCGCCACGGTTGTATAAATTATTTTAATACAACCGAGGCTCACCTGCACTTACCGGGAAGGAAGCCCAGATCCGTGTTCTATCGGCTTGGCACCGGTAATCGCCGGGGAACCACCATATCTATACCGCATCGATACCGTGACAAAGCGTAGTAAACCGGGACGGGTGTTAATCAATGTCAAATCACGGCAGAGCCCCGGTTATGACACGATGTCGCCGAGGTAAAAACAGGCAGAGCTACGGTAGAGCCAGGGTACGTTGCAGTTATTGGCGACAATGCTCCGGCCTGACAAGGAAATGCCCCGGATATTGCAGCAAGTCCCGGTTATACAACAGTGATAGACGGTGGCGTCACGACCTCATGCCAATTTAAAGAACATGTATATATACACTTGAAGTGCTAATTTGGATAATTGTGTTAAGTTAAGACGACTAAGGGCCATTCTCACCTTTTTCCTATCCTTCCCTGAGTCGTTTTCAAAGGTACCCCCTCAACCCCTGTAGGCGTTGTAAACACAGTTTTTCCAATTTTCCTCCCCTTTCCTTTGGGTGGCATCTCTGCTGTCTTTTTACTAAATGACTGGTGTCAACGTAGTCAAGCATATTTATTCTCATAAACTTGAACCGGGAAGCATTGATGCATTACCGAGACAGTACCGGCATCACCCGTAGCTTAACCGTGGCAAAATCGGCGATGGTCGTGATGGACCGTGATGAAACCGTATCTAGTCGGGTCTCCACCGGGATCAAACGGGAATATACCGTATATCGGCACTTACCGTATATATCCGGGGCTATATCGGGTACTTAACCTTGAATGCACCACCTGGGTTCTGTCGGGGATGTGTAAACACAATTGAATTTTTCAGAAAAAAAAAACACAGAACACCCCGGTCCACCGGTTTAAGACACCGTAGCGATACCGTTGCCATTACTGGGACAGTGTAAGTTGGTCTTTAGAACTGTAGAAATGATGACAAAGAATATTATAATGATATAAGCAACATGTCATGTCAAATTGTACACAATGTGAAGGTATACTGCACATTTTAATTGTGAATTCCATCATTACTTCAAACTATTACAGGTCATTATTTATGGATAATTAATCTGTTAGGGATCTGAGATCCAAAATGTCTAACATTTTAATTTACCATTAGATGTTTAAGTTGTTATTTTTTTGGAAAGAATAGCATTTGTGTAAACATTTATGGACACTAGACCATTTTATAATTTGAATGCTAAGAGTCAAGGTCGGTATGTTAATATTTCAAAAATCACAGGTCAGCGACTACGCCTCTGGGCCCGCATGTCATTGCAAAAATATATACCGTTTAATTATTTATTTTCTTGAATCTTGATTTTCAATCATACATACAATCGTATGGTTTCGTTGGCATAGAGCTCAAAGATATACATGACTCCACGCTATGGCTTAAAATATTGATTCTGCTATATGCAAACAATACCATTATACTGTCAGATTCCCCGATCGACTTTCAATATTGTTTAGATACTTTTAATGAATATTGTCAAACCTGGTGACTAAAAGTGAATATAAATAAAACAAAAACAACAAGAATTCTTTCCGTCTGTCAGTCCGTCCGTCCGCTTTTCTTGTCCGGGACATAACTTTTAAACAACAAGAGGTATCAACATGAAACTTTGTAGATAGATAGATCTCATTGAGTAGGTATGCAGTGCACAATAATCGTAACTCTGCCCTGCCTTATTTTTTAATTACCCCCCTTTGTCTTTTACACTTTGAACTTTGTCCGGGACATAACCCTAAAACTATAAGAGGTATTAACATGGAACATTGTAGGTAGATAGATCTTATTTGGTAGGTGTACAGTGTACAAGAACCGTAACTCTGCCTCGCCTTATTTCTGAATGATCCCCCTTTTTTATTTTACACTTTGAACTTTGTCTGGGACATAACTCTAAAACTATAAGTGGTATCAACATGGAACTTTGTGGGTAGAAAGATCTCATTGAGTAGGTGTGCAGTACATAAGAATCGTAACTCTGCCTTGCCTTATTTTTGAATTATTTCGCTTTGTTTATTTTAACACTTTGAACTTTGTCCAGGACATAACTACAAAACTTTAAGAGGTATCAACATGAAACTTTGTAAGTAGATAGATCTCATTAAGTAGGTTTGCAGTGCACAAGAACTGTAATACTGTCTTACCTACTTTTGCAGTTATTGCGCTTTGTTCATTTTGACACTTTGAACTTTGTCCGGGACATTACTCAAAAATGTTATGAGAGATACCAACATGAAATTTTGTAGATAGATAGGTCTCATTGGGTAGAAGTGCAGTGCTTAAGAATTATTACTCTGCCTTGCAAGTTTTTGAAAGTATTGCCATTTGTTTATTTTTACTTTTGACTTTTGTCCGGGACATAACTTTAACAATTAAAGATATCATCATGAAACTTTGCATACCGCTATATCCCACATGCTGAAAGACAATGTAAATACCATTATATCCCACTTGCCGACAGAGACAGTATATACCGTTATATCCCACTTGCTGACAGAGGCAGTATATACCGTTATATCCAACATTTTGACAGGCAGTAAATACAGTTATATAAAACTTGCTGACAGAAGCAGTAAATACAGTTATATCCCATTTGCTGACAGAGGTAGTATAAACCGTTATATCCAACTGGCTGAGAGAGGCAGTTAAAACCGTTATATCCCACTTGCTAACTAAGAAAGTATATACCGTTATATCCCACTGGCTGACAGAGACACTAAATACCGTTATATCCCACTTGCTGACTGAGACAGTAAATACCGTTATGTTCCACTTGTTGACAGAGGCAGTATATACCGTTATATCAAACTTGCTGACAGAGGCAGTAAATACCCATATATCGATGTTGCAGACAGAGAGAGTAAATACCGTTATATCCCACTTGCTTACAGAGGTAGTAAATACCGTTATATCCAACTTTCTAACAGAGGCAGTATATACCGTTATATCCCATTGGCTGTCAGAGGTAGTATAAACATTATATCCCACTGGCTGACAGAGGCAGTTAGTACCATTATATTCCACTGGCTGACAGAGGCAGTATATACCGTTATACCAATCTTACTGACAAAGGCAGTTCATACCCATATATCGATAATGCAGATAGAGACAGTAAATACCGTTATATCCCTCTTGCTGACAGAGGCAGTAAATACCGTTATATCCAACTTGCTGAAAGAGGCAGTATAAACCTTTATATTCCACTGGCTGACATACGCTGTAAATACCGTTATATCCCACTAGCTGACGGAGGCAATTAATACCGTCATATCCAACTTGCTGACAGAGACAGTAACTACTGTTATATTCCACTTGCTGGTAGAGACAGTAAATACCGTTATATCCCACTTGCTGACCGAGGCAGTAAATACCGTTATATCCCACTGGCGGACAGAGGCAGTAAATAACGTTAATCCTACTTGCTGAAAATGACAGTAAATACCGTTATATCACACTGGTTGACAGACAGTAAATACCGTTATATCCCACTGGCTGACAGAGGCATTAAAACTGTTATATCCCACTCGCTGACAAAGGCAGTATCAACCGTTATATCCCACTGGCTGACAGAGGCAGTAAATACGGTTAAATCCGACTAGCTGAAAGAGACAGTAAAAACCGTTAAATCCCGCTTTCTGACAAAGGCAATAAATACCGTTAGATTCCACTGGCTGACAGAGGCAGTGTATTGCGTTATATCCAACTTGCTGACATAGGCAGTATATACCGTTCTATCCCACTGGCTGACAGAGGCAGTAAATACCGTTATATCCCACTTGCTGACAGAAGCTATACAAACCGTTATAACCAACTTGCTGACAGAGGCATTAAATACCGTTATATTCCACTGGCTGAAAGTTGCAGTAAAATACCGTTATAGCAATACCACTTGCTGACAGAAGCTATAAATACCGTTATATCCCACCTGCTTGCAGAGACAGAAAATACCGTTATATCCCACTTCCTGACAGAGGCAGTAAATAAGGTTATATCCCACTTGCTGAAAGAAAATGTAAATACCCTTATCTCCCACTTGCCGACAGAGGCAGTTAATACTGTTATATCCCAATGGCTAACAGATACAGTATATACCGTTATATCCCACTCGCTGACAGAGGCAGTATACACCGTTATATCCCACTGGCAGACAAAGGCAGTATACACCGTTATATCCCACTGGCTAACAGAGGCTGTAAAAACCGTTATATCCCATTGGCTGACTGAGACAGTATATACCGTTATATCCCACTTGCTGACAGAGGCAGTAAATAACGTTATATCCAAGTTGCTGACACATGCAGTAAATACCGTTTATCCAATTTGCTTGCAGAAGCTGTGAATACCGTTATATCCCACTCGCAACAGAGGCTAAAATATTGTTATATGTAATTTTACAAACTGTTATATCAAACTTGCGTACAGAGGCTATAATTACCCTTATAATGGACCTGTCGGCTATACATTCAGGTTTATACAGCTGACCACATTTTCTGTATTCGAGTTTTACATTCCGTGTGTATATGTCAGGTACAGAAAGATATCTAAAATGTGCAAACTTGCATACGTATAATATACAATCGAAAATACGAACTTGTAAATTGGTTGTTGTTTTCCAAGTTAAGTAAGTTGTTACGAACTATGCATGGATACAATAAAAATGGTAGGCATACAAGTTCGCATTTTCAAAAGTAATGTTTAAAAGGAACACTTTACATGTCTGGAATTTGGCAACGAACGCCAGTCATAGTTATCTGGCAAATTATTTGGACGGCCGTGGCCGCCCTTGCTATTTGATTCGATGCCACTATATCTCAAAGATGTTGTTGCAAGGATGTAAACAACTCCAACATCCCGAGAAAAGTGAACTGTACTGACGACAGACTGTTACTCAAGAGCATTGTTTTACAAAATATGATTATTGTGCAAAATTAACTTACCCTTTTTGTGATTTTGATATTTTTTTTCCTCTGTTTGTACTGATGAATCGGTTTCGTTACTTTTCTCTTTTATGAAATACAAAATAATACAATAATATGTTGAAATAAGTAAATATCATCACCACTAAATGTGACGAATACCCTCGCAATAAAACAAGAGTCAGCCTTAGCCCAGATTTCTAGAAGTTATGTGGAATTTCATCTGCATTTTTTGTAAAAAGAGTATTCGACCACATGGAATTCAGAAACTATTTGCATTTTATGCGGAATTTGGAGTTTTGGAAGCGGAATATTGAATGCAGAACTTTTGCTGGTTTCGGAAATTTGAAATTTTTGAACAACGAATAGAGGCCAAGGTCAAATTCGAATTACGTCACATGAAAGGTTTGTTCAGTGTTGTTATGTTCAAATATGAATAATCTAAATATGAAAAATCTACTCATTTAAACAAATATTTGGCCAAATGTATGTAATTTAAATTATTTGGCATTAAAGGTCAATGTCATACTTAGATTAATACATTTGACGGTTTTATCGTAGGCGACATTTATTCCAGTATAAATCGGATCAGTCTATTGATTACAAAATTATGAAAATTTTAGCAAAATTCAATGATTTGGTCGAACCTGTCAAGGTCATTTTAAGATATTTGTCAGACCGGAACAATAAAATATTTCAGATAGAAAAATAGCAAACCTGCCCCTTGCCCTCTTTTTATCTCATCAAGGTCTTTCTTCACTTCAGTTACATTTTCCTTTATGTCTTCAATGTCTCTCTTAACGGCAGTATCATTTTCTTTCATATCTTCAAGGTCTTTCTTCACTTCAGTTACATTTTCCTTTATGTCTTCAAGGGCTCTCTTCACCGCAGTATCATTTTCTTTTACGTCTTCAAGGTCTTTCTTTACATCAGTTACATTTTTCTTTACACGTTCAAGGTCTTTCTTCACGTCAGTTACATTTTCTTTCACATCTGTCATTTCCTGTTTCAGTCGGTCAACATCGGCTTCATAGTCCTTCCACTTTTTTATTTCTTCCTGTATTTTTCTCTCTTCTTCCAGATCTAGAGGGATAGTTTTGAATTTGGCAATTGTTTGCTGAATATTCACAGCGGGAGAACTTTGACGAACAAGTATCTGAAACCGGAATTTAATTACAACTTAATCATTTAAGTTTTGTGTTTGATGATCTCTATTAGTGTTTATCGAAGATGTTGACCCGACAAATTATCTGTTTATAAAAAATATTAGACATAAAAACAAATTTGCTGAGCAAGAGAGTCATGATTGCCCATACACCGCTCTCCTTATAATAAAGGCTCTTGATGACAAGTTACAATTAACACTGTCTACTATGAATTAAGTCTAAATCTTATACTGATATCAAAAGGTCATATCTGCATCTGAAATCGTGCAAATTACAGGTTGTTATTGCTAAGAAAAATCATCAGTTATTCTTAAGTCGGGAAACAAAGTGATCCCTCGGAAACTTTAATCACAACAAAATTACAAGAGAATAGCAGACTCGGTTTGATTGAGTCAGTACATGCCTTGGATTAAGAATGCCTTGGAACATCAATGATTGAAGAAAAACACTTGCTGCTAAGAAACACAAGGTTTGCTAAGGAAAAAGAAAGGCTGATGTGGAATTGGTTTGCTGCTTAAGAATGTAAATGGTTGTTTTTAAAGTCACTGGTTACTCTGGAATGTCAACGGTTTCTATGATAGCCACCACTGGTTGCTATGGAAAGTCAATGATGCCTTAAGAAGTCACTTATTACTTTGGAAAGTCAATTGCTGCTACAGAAATAACTGGTTTGCTATGAAAGTCACTTGTTGCTATGGAAGACAATAGTTGGTAGTAAAGTCACTGATGACTGTAAAGTGACGATTGTGATCCACTGGTTGCTATTAAATTCAATCCCCAGTAAAGAAAATCCAAGACCCCCAAGGCATGACAAATTAAACACCTGGACCGGGTTGTTCAAAACATTGGTTAAAATTAACCAATGGATAGTTTATCCACTGGCTAAATCCTTAACCAGCGGTCAGCTATCCAGTAGATAAAATTTCATTGTTCGACAGTTTGATAGTACACTGGCTACCTAACCAGTGGATAGCGTATTTATCCATTGGTTAAGTACCACAATGCAACAGGGCTGGTTAGTGATTCTGGAAACAAAATGGCAGATTTATTGATAAATAATAAATTTATTTTAATCAGGCAGTTCCCAAAGACTTAATTTTGCATGTTTTGTGCTTTCATGTTTTTGGAAATAAACAAAAAGTATATCAAAGGCCTAAAAATATCAATTGATGTATTGTTCCCTTAGACACACATAAAAAAAATCAAAAACTTTTTTTTTCAAATTGTGAATTGAAATTACTTCCATTCGATGGGTAATGTTCTAACTAAGAAAATGAGTACTGACACTTGTATATTTCATTAACTCATTCGACCCGTACGCCGAGTATAGTCGTCGTCTTAATCTGTTACCGTGTACCTCGCGCCGAGTATAGTCGTCGTATAAACTTTATCGGCTATCCAGCATGACGAGAGAAGTCGTCGCGTATTGAACTACTACTGTATACCGCGTGACAAGTTATGTCGGCGCATTTCATTGGTTGTTTCGACGGGTAATATTTAGATTTGAAGTATTTTGACCAATCAGGAAACGCGTTATATGTATAGTATAAAGGTTTACCTATAAGGAAGTGAAAATTTTATCGAAATATCTCTATCTGAAGAAAAGTTATATTGCGTTAAAAAATGGAAAATCGGAGGAATTTATTTGACATTACGTTTGATACGGATACGGAAAATGACGCAAATTCGGATAGTGACATTAGTCTCGATAGTGAAAGTGAGATAGAATCGGAAAGTGACAGTCAAAGTGAAAATGAAAGTGCGGACGAAAATGTTGAATATTCTCAGTGGAAGGCAAACGATCGGTCAGACTTGCCTAAAGGACCATTCACAGGCCCAAATCCAGGACCTACTACAGATCTTGATGCGGACTCAAATGAGTTTGATTTCTTTGAACTGTTCTTTCCTGCATTTCTGATTGAGCTACTTTGTAGACAGACAAACTTGTATGCAGGGCAGAAGCAGAGAAATAAACCAGATCCTAATTGGCGGCCAGTTGTAGAACCTGAAATGAAAGCCTGGCTAGGAGTCCGGGTGTTCATGAGTATACTAGAGGTTAGTTTTGTGTGGTCGTAACAAAGTTACAAAATCAAAGACATGTTATACACTCAGAACTTTATGTTAAACGATGTACTTTTAGTTAGAAAAAAACCCTCAAAAAGCTGGTATTCGGCCTTTGTTCTACTGGTTATTTTATCGACCAAAACTTGTACACGAATGTGTATGAGTTTGATTAAAATAGTACACTGACATGTCTCGATCAGATTGATTATAAATAATCTTCTGCCCTAAGTGGTACCATCTGCTTGTCATGTAAAAATATTGCATGGCCAATAACTGTTATAAACCTCTATGACACTAAAATAAATTTACTTCTAAAATCAAACAAAAGTGATTGTCGTAAGTGATTTAAAATTTTATGCTTAGCTATGCATTGGTTTTAATAGCATGCAAACTATTATTTTCTAGCTTTTTATTAAGTTTTTTTTTGTTTATTTTCAGTTACCACAGACAGCGCTGTATTGGTCAAAGGATTCGTTATTCGGCCACCTAAATATTAGACGTGTTATGACGAGAGATCGTTTTGACAAGATTTCACAGTATTTACATGCTAACGACTCAACGACAAATACACCACGAGGACAAGATGGGCACGAAAAACTCAACCATGTACGGCATGTATTAGATGAGGTTCTTCGACGGTGCAAAGAAAATTACAATCCCCATCAGAACGTAAATGTGGATGAAGCTATGGTGAAATATCGTGAACTATGGTGAAATATCGTGGACCACTTAGTTTCCGACAGTACCTCCCGGCTAAACCAACTAAGTATGGGATTAAGGTTTGGATGAGAGCTGACCCCACAAATGGATATTGTAACGAATTCCAAGTGTACACCGGTAAAGAAAATGGGAACCCTGAAATTGGACTAGGTGGTAGGGTTGTGTGTGATATGACTCGGGACATCTGGGGTAAGAACCCTATTGTGAACATTGATAACCTTTTCACAAGCCCTGATCTTTTGAAAACTCTGTTAGAGAACGGAACATATGCTCGAGGGACTGTCCGCAAAAATAGGAAGCGATTAAACCCAAAGAATGTAAAGGAACAGGGCCAGTTCACAACGGCGCAAAAAGGTGAAATGACTGCGTGTCTGTGGAAGGACAAAAAACACATATTTACTATGTCAACAGCTGACAATCCATCATCAATCCAGACAACAGTGTTGAGAAAACATAAATGGACAAATCAAGGAAGTACCTGCGCCCACTATCATTCCGGAATATAACAATAACATGAACGGAGTAGATCACTCGGACCAATTACGAACAGAGTATAGTACCTACCGAACGTCCAGGAAGTGGTGGCACTACTTGTTTTGGTTTCTGTTTGACTTGTGTGTCACAAATGGATTTATCCTAATGAAAGAATCGGCAAACCACCAAAGGTTCACCAAGAAAGGGAACGCGAAAAAATTGACTATGTTGGACTTCTGAATAGCATTAGCCAAACAACTCCTTGGAGATTTCGTAGAGAACGAAAGGGCTGCGTTGGCAACAGTCAGTAACGGACACTTTCCAAAGAAAGGGGACAAAAAGGGCAGGTGTAGACAATGCAGTAAGAGCAAAATAAGGAAAGAACCAGTGAATATGTGTGCCGAGTGTAATGTGCATTTGTGTCTGGACTGCTTTTAGCCTTGGCACAGGGATTTACTCAAACGCAGGAATAATACTGCGAAATCATCCGTAATAGGAACATAGCAATATACGTATGTGACTGATTCTACGACACGTTCTACCGGATACTTGTAAAAGCAACTGTGTATGGATTTTTTTATTATAAGAATTTAAAGTTTTTAATAAAACATGTAACATTATAGGTAATTTGAATTTTGTTAACAAAAATATTTAGTTGATGACCTTTGTTCATTCCTTTTATCCAGAAAAGTAACATAATTGAAAGCTCCAGAAAATAAGAGTTCTAATATAAATATGTTACAGTTTTTGTATATATTTTGTTTCGCTTTTTCATACAATCTTAAATTAATCCACACATATATAACAAGTTTCATTCATATCTCATATATCGATTATTTTTTTCGGCTAATACATTCTTACTTTTAGACACAGTAGTAAAGATAAATTATTTATTGTTTTCTTTGAAATTTTCTTTAAAAAAACAACAGGAAAATAAAATTATTTTTTTAATGAATATGTATTTCTGATGTATGTACACCTCTGCAACATTACTGTTACATTTATTTTTAGTTTTTATGTGCTCCATAACATAATACTTATATTTGCTTATAGTCATTACTATACTTATTTATTTGCATAATGCAGTAGATGTCTTAATATATTATTTAAATTATTATATTATGGAGAAGAATGTTTAAATAGAAATTTATACAATAAATAAAGTTCTTTTATTACAAATAAACTGATTTTAAGTTGAAAATCTTCTTTACTTTATTGATAATAAATCAGTCCAGCATGTTACCATAGTGATGGAAGTTACACCACTGATTAGGTAATTTTATTGCCAACATTTATGTGTCATTTCAGCTTGATTGGATTAAAAATGAGATTGCCAGAGGCAAATTACATAATGCACCCCCAATTATTTATGACCTGTCAATAAAACAGTGCAATATCCCTCAGGGAGACAGGTTAGATAAAATCAATGTTCAATTTAATCCTAAGCATTTCATATGAAATGTTCTAGTTGAGAAAAAAAATTATATTTATAAGGAAAATCTGGTTTTAAACAAGTTTTAATGTATTTACTGTTTCAATTTTGATGGCATTACCCGGCGGTCATAGGACTGGTTAAAGTTAACCACTGGATAACGCATTTTATCCTTTGGATATGTTTTGAGCAACAAATTTATCCAACAGACAAAATTTAACCAGCGGATAATGAATTTAACCACTGGTTAACACTAACCAATGTTTTGAACAACCGGATCCAGGGCTATAACTTGGTAGACGTTTTCTAAACCTGTAAAATATCTAAGTTTTCTAAATGACGCTCTCAAAGTACTAGAAATCTAAAAATTGTGAAGCGCTGAATGTACTGGAGACCTGGAAATTGTAAAACACTGACACTGCTAGAAACTGAAAAATCATGATGCAGCCAAAGCTTCGAAAAGCACTGAAAGTACCGGAAACTTGAAATATTAAAGCATTGAATACACTGGAAAACCTGAAAAAAATGGAAGCACTGAATGGACTGGAAACCTGAAAATTGTTAAACAATATAAAGCAATGACATTTACCGAAACTTGAAAATTTTGACACAGTGGAATAACTGGTACATGAAAATTGTGATTCAAGGATATAACTGGACACCCGAAAGTTTAACGCACTGTAATAGGTGGTACTTGAAAATTGTGAAGGACTGGAATTTCTGATTATTGTAAATTGTGACGCACTGAAATAACTGGAAATCGGAAAGTCGCGAAGCACTGAAAGCACTTGACACCTGAAAATCGTAACGCACTTAAAGTACTGATACTCGAAAAAGCGTAAATGTTTTTAAGTCTAAATACACCAAGCTTTCAAATCATTCACATCGTATTTAAGATTTTCCTAAATTTACAAAATTTATTTTACAATTAAAGGAACTCCAATGAGGACGTGAAGTCTAAAATATGAAATTCGAATTTCTTACAAAGATCAAATTAGGCACTTTAACAGAAGAAAATGTTAAGAATAAGTTCAAAATTGTATTTTGCTTTTATAGCTAAAGAGACTTTAGTAAACAGGTTTTAAAGTATTGCTAGGCCTTTTCGCTGAAGACAATCCCGTATCGAAAAGCAACCAGAACTGTGACATATTGATGTCCTGAAATTCAATAACTTTTCGTTTTCTGGACAAACACTATTTTATTACATGCAGTTAAATATATTTTTCACACTTCAGTCTAATTGTTTTAACACAGAAGGTTAGATTGTCGAAAAAATGCCTCCATGTTTATCTGTGCGTTTACATTTCAATACTATCACCGTCATTGTTGTAGTATTGTCATACATGATGAACTTGAACTGACTCTATGTAAAATGCTTGTTTGCGCATGCTCCGTATTTCTAGTAAATATCTAAGATCACATGTTAAGGGTTTACAGAATAAATTTATATCTTGTGCTGAACACAAGTCGTGTTTTATTTTACTTCATTGTATCAACGCACTTGATTTAATTTCTATTAATTATTGTTCATTAATAAACGAACATTACAACATGGTGTCAGAATAAAAACGTTTTCTAAATAACCTGGACATACGATAAAAAATTGAAATATTTATCTCAAGAAATAAAGTTACAAAATTAAATTAATATTTGACAACAAATTGGAATTATCTGCATTGTCAGTGCCCAAAATGGACTGGGAATCTACAAATTTACCAGAAGCGTATAATTAATTCGAACGTCACGCAAAGCTAATGTTTACAAAATCTTTGAAAGAGAAGTCTGAAGAAGAACAAGTTTCTTACTTTTTGTTATGGATTGGCGATAAAGAACGGGATATCCACTGCACGTGGAAAGATATCTCTGAATACGATGCCAAAAAGATCGACACGTACCACAAAAAATTCAGAACTTATGTGGCAACCTAAGCTCAATCCAATATTTGCCAGATATAAATTCTACAATCAAACACAGGGAAGAAGAACCATCGATTCGTTTTTGACAAAATTACAAATCTGTGCACGAGACTTGCAGTTTTGAAAACGCAGGACGAAATGATTAGAGACCGTATTGATTTTGCATTTTCTGAGAAAAGCTTATGAACGAGGGACTGCAGAATTGACCCTTAGATAAAGCAGTTTACAAATCGCTCAAAATATGGAATTACGCAAAAAGGCCAAATTGATGTCCATGGTATGTGCGGCGGACAATGACGTTTCAACCACGTTGTCGAGGCCTAGAAAAAACGATTATCCGAAGGGGGGTATAATCCCCAAAAAACAGTTTTCGAGAAAGTACTGTTCTAAATGCAGGACAACCCAAAGGGGCAAAAAATGTTTCCAAACAAAGGGGGGAAAAAGGAAAAAGTGGCAAACTGAAAACATTTCCAGAAAAAGTTAAAACACGTAATATTGTGAACAACAGAATTGTGGGTTTGGGAAAGTTTAGGATTTTTTTGTTTGGCACCAGGTTTAAAATTTCAAATTTCTTTTCCCACCTGAAATTTTGCAATGGTTTAAACCCAAAAATTTGGGCCCAAAATCCGCCCCCGTAAAATTTTAAAATAGTACAGGTTCTCAATTAAAATTGTACCTTTAGGAAATGTCAAAAAAATACATTTCAAAGGCCCCCCTTTCTACCCTTTTGATGCCGGTTATTTTTCCCACACTAAAACCCCATCTCAGTTTTATAGAAGGGCAACTTTCCCT